CTGCGTTATGACTTGTGCCTAATTGTCCTAGGTCTGTTTTTTGCCATGAAATGTGAATAATGTCTTGGCCCTTGTGGCAGACCTCAGTTTCATGGTCTGGAAACAGCTTTAAATTCAACAAACTGTGAGTCACTGTGTTTAGAAGAGGGTGTCCCAGGAGAGACCACAAATAGAAGCAACTCTGGGGCAATTCCTTAAAGTACTAAGGGGAATCCAGAAGGGCCACATGGGAAGGTACTTCCAAGGTTTCTGCTCTTTTCAGAAATGTAACCAGAAGCTGCTCAGAGCAATTTCAACAGCTGATATTTTTTTATTTCTTTTTTTTTTCTTCTTTTCTTTTTCTTTTCAGCTGATATTTTTTTTCTTTTTTTTTTCTTCTTTTCTTTTTCTTTTTTTAAAGTCATTTGGCAGTAGGTTGTTACTGAAGAAAGACATTGATTTTTGTTGTACTTCCCCAATAAACTGGTACCACTACTTCACCTTTAGCAACCAGTTATCAGGGCACATGCTGCAATCAGAAAATCAGTAATCAGATTCCTTTGAACACTTCTACGAGTCTTGTCATAGCACCTTTCTTTCACTGCATGATTTCTGCCTGCACATACACAATTTAATATTGCAGTTCATTTAGATTAGACACTGTAATGTTCCTTGATGAGCTGCCAGATAGGCACGTGTATATAGTGAACTGAGATTTGATCTGTTGCTGCTGAACTCTCACTTGCCTGAGGTTTTCGCAATCCATTCTTCCTGTACTTAGGCATTAACTTGGCTGCTAATTACTTTTCTCATCATGTACAAAATTGTGTTGTTTACCTTAAAGGTGATGCATCAGCTTCATCCCGCTTAACTCGCAGACCTGCAAGTTAACTGCCTGCATCTAGTTGTTCCCTTGAGGTTCTTGTCCTACTGTGTTTCTGTCAGCTTCCCCTTTCCAATTAGAATAATTTGGAAACACTTGATTTCAGTACCTGAGCTTTTATATTTTGGAGCTCAGCAAATTTTACCTATTGGGCATACCTCTGCACTTTCAGGTGAATATACAATGTCAGCAGTTGCATATCCATGCAATGATTGCGTTTGACTTGCAAAAATATTTTAAGGTATCTATGTACAAAATGTCATGGAGTTATACTTTGTACTGTGTTATGTGCTATAGAGCAGGCCAAAGGAGAGGATAAAGTTTAATCATTAGAAGCCTTGGACTGAGAGGCATGACTTTAGGTTTCTATTCTTGGTTTTAATGCTGACTTACCATGTGACTTGTTCAAGTGATTTAACCTTTGTATGACCCTGCCTACCCACACATAAAATGAATATTGTAATCTCTACTGCTCAGGTTTTGTCATTAAAAAGACCATGCTAGTCTCTCTGTTGCAAGCACCCTGTTTGATAGCATGTTAAATACAAAGTTCAGCTCTAAAGATTAATTTTCATCCTTCTCCATCCTCATCCTTTAATGGCTTGGTTTCTACTTACTGGAGTACTTGGCTCCAATACCCAGTTAGTGCCCTCTTATGACAGTTACATTTTGGTTAAACAAAAGAGCTATAAACCAGAAGAATGAGGGTTGTGAGCATGGGAATAAGCACATCGTTGGAGTATGGCCTGTGAATCTGCAAATAACACCCACAAGCAATCCTGATAGCTGTAAGCCTCAGCTTCAGAGTAAAAGGAAATAACATACTACCTGAATTTAGTCTTTTTGACCTCCCTAATCCAGACACACCAAAATTCAGTGCTTGTGAATAAGGAGAAGGAAGAAAAAGCCAGAGCACAAATTAATGTTTGTGTGCATAGTTTTGTGAGGTGGTCAGGTGCCTCGTTGCCATCAATGATGTATTTGGATTAGACAAAACTGTGACAGCTGTGTCCCTCTATGGTCCATACATAAGCCGTGTGACCAAGTTTTATTTCTGCAGGAGTTAAAAATATTGCACTTACGCAATTTGTGAGTGGTATAGATTTACATATGCATGAGTCAAAATCCTTTTTTTTTTTTTCCTTTGCTCATGTGAGTAGACCAACTAGAGACTAAGTGGACCTCAACAGGAGATTTGAAAGCTCTCTGGAAGTTCTTGCTCTTGAAGGTTAAGTACAAGCTGGAATCTTGACAGTGCTGGTTTGGATCCTCACTGTGTTCTTCCTGTCAGGTTTCTAAGCTTCAGAATAATGAAGGAAAAAATGGAAGCAGTGGAGCCAGAAGACCAAAAGAGCAGTTTTGAGTTCTAAGTGATTCTTGGGCTAAGTTTAACAGTGGGGAGAAACTCAGCTTCATTAACTCTGCCTTCAGGTGTGGAGACAGAAAGTCTCAGGGTGCTTAGCCATCTCATATAAACTACAGTAGTACCTAGATGATCCTTGAGGTCCCTTCCAACCTAGCATTCTATGATTCTATCCTATGATTAGCAGAAAAGATTCCAAGTGTAAAAGGAGTAAAAATAAATTAAAATTAAAAAGTGAGTGAAAATATTTTATCAGATAAAATATCTGTAAACATGTTATCAGATAAAATACCTGCAGCAATGGATTTCCACTTAAGGCTAGGGAAAAAGTGCTGAAAAGCCACATATTCTTTCCTTGGCTTTGTGCATCTGCTCAGAAACAACAGTCAAGAAGGAGACATTAAGAAATTATATAAGTGATCAAAAAATGTAAATAAAATTTAATGTGGAGTGACTATGTCTGATGAAGCAACTTGGAAAAGGAAGTTCTGTGTGTCAGTGCAAAGCTTAACTCCAAGCCTGATGTGTATTCTCTGAGTGCTTCTGGAATGCGTATTAATACTGATACAAAGATGACTGATTGAGGCACAGTGTCTAATGACATTATTTATTTAAAAAAAAAAAAAGTCTGCTTCGCTGAGGGGGTGAATATTGGTTAGAGCTGAAGACTGAAATTCTAGCCCCACTGATGTCCATGACAAAAGTTCTACTGATTCTACCTCCAGCAGAATTTTACCCATCACCTTGAAATGTAGCCAGCAGAGGTAGCAGAAGGCTACTGTGAGGTCATCCCTGTTCTGTTTCCTAACCTTTAAAGTCAGCCAGTGGTCGGACGTTTGCTGCAGTTACAGTTTCTCTCCTTGCCCCACGGGCCCTCTCTGTTTCACTGCAGGCAGCCTGCCTGCTTGGGCAGGTTGAGCTGGGCACTGAGGTTGTAGGGAAGCAAGTTTGTAGAGGGTCACTCACACAGTCCATCCTGGTGTCTGCCACTGGTGTTCATTCTCAGGCAAGAGGTGTAACCATGTCTTAAGCTGCTGTAGCTGATTCTGCAGTGCACAACTCACTGCTTTATTTAGATCACATGTAGATATTTTTTTTTTAGCACTGTTTTGTATCAGTGACGGTATGCTCTATTGTATTCTTTCCTGTTTGGTCACAGCTATATTAGTGTACAGCTTTATACCTTTAGTGTTGAAATAGGACAGGACATAACCTTTTCTTCGTGTTTTCCAAGAATTTCCAAAATTATTCTTCTAGCTACTAGGCCTTTCATTTTTCACTATTTCCAATATTTCCTTTTAAAACATATGAGTACCTTATTCCAGATCAGTCTCATTGATGCCCCACATGCAGAGACAAAATCCTTGTTTCAGTTGCATTACCTTCCTCATGAAGACTGGACCTGGACTAGCTGCTTTTTCAGCGCAGTGGCTCCAAATTTTTTGGGTTGTCTACAGTAATGTAGATAGCATCTCTAGTCACTGCTTTCTAAAACACAGCCCACCATTGTGCAAACAGTCATGTTCTGTTCCTACATGTATGGCCTCGCATGACTTCCAAGAGAAATGTTTCCTAAAATACAAGATGTAACTTAAACTTGGCTGTATATGCAAAGGAAAACCAATTAATGAAAAACAAAAATATTGCCTCAAACCCTAGGAGTTTGAGACAGGAAAGTTTCATTCCTTTTTGGAAACTAGAGCACATTCTCGTTTAAGTTTTTCTCAGAAGCCAGTTCGGAACTTTCTTGGAAAGAATTCAGAAAAGTGGGACAAGCAACATTTCCAGTTATCCTTTTACGATGGATTAAAAATAAAACCAAATGAATCCAGTAGAGGTGCACACCTCTGTAGAGTAAATGTCACCTGACAGTGGCATGGCTAATCTTAACTATTTTTTATGGACTTATGAGAAGCAGACCATGAGTTTCCAAGGGGCCTACAGACCACTGAGTGAAAAAACTGATTTAATCTATTCCAAGGTTTCTACCATAGCACCACAGTGGACACATGCTGTTTGAATGAAACAGATTAACACAGTGTCCAGACACTGACTCCTTTGGCAGTACTGAAAATTAGTGTTTGGGGTAGGTTCCTGGAAGCTCTGGGGTAAGATGCTGGGTGTATGAACGTAATCCTTGGCAGTAAGGGCATGTTAATCAGATAACATGATCAGTTATGTCGCACAGATGATCAGAGGTGCCCAATGGCTGTACCGTGAATGGCAAAAAGCGACGGCTCCGATCCTGCCAATACCAGTGACATCAGTAGAGCTACTTCTGATGATGCTTGTGTGTGCAGAGCTGCTTGGGTATCTTTACAGGTCTGGGTGCCAAGTGTGGGAAAATGTAGAAGAATGTGTGTGTTTTCTTATTTTAATGTAGATGAAAACAAGGGGAATCAAAGTCTTAGGCTCTGAAATCTGAAGGTACTTCAGGCCGTTCTATGCATAAAATGACAACTGTCTTATTTTCACAGTGATAAAATAATTTTAGGGAGGATATTTTGGCAGTACACTACTTTTTAGGATGTGTAGCCATGCAAGTACTGCTTCATTATTGGGTAGGTGGGTAAGTCGGCAGGATAAATTACTCAGTTTGCACGGATGAGTAATGACCCAATTCTTCTGTTGAACTTGGGTGCGATTCTTTGGCAGACTAATGCTGCTCTGAAGGCTGCCTTACTTTACATTTGCATACTATGGGGATTACTTTCTCCTGATCGCCTGGGTTCTGTGCCTGAGATTATGTTGAGTCTTCTCCGTGGTGTTTATTACCTCATACTGTATTTGCTCAGGAATTGTGCTCAAAAGGGGGAGTTCTTCACTAGGGGAGCACAGGTGCATGGCGCGAGGGAAAGCGCTTTACGTGGGAAATGAGGAAATCTGCATTCAAACACACTTGTTCCATAATGGGAAGTTTAGCATGTAATTTGGTGCCAATTTAAGGTAATTTCGCTTCCTGTTAGAAAGACGTGAACCGAACCGCAGTACGTGCTAGCTCTTTCTAGTCTTTGAGAAGTATCAAAGTTAGGCAGCTGGAGGGATAACGCTGGGGACTGATAACGGGGAGCCTGCAGTTTTATTCTTGCCCTGGCAATTACGCACCATGCGTGTGGCCACAGCATTTTAACTCTTACGTGCCTCAGTTTCTCTGCCTGAGAAACCGTGAATGTACGTGTTCCGCGCACGCAGCCCGTGCAGCAGGGTGAAGTCCTGCTTGTGAAATCGGCTTCATGTATTTATGCATGCATTTTTGGGAAGAGCTAATTGTTGCAGCGCCGCGCCAGCAGTGCCACGGGCGGGCTCTGGGTGCAGACGCGGTATCATCGCTTCCCAGCTGCCAGCCTTGCAAACGTTCCCTCCCGCCCGCCTTTCCCAGCCCTGCCCGCATGG